GAGACAATGAATTTTGGTTTTTCCTTTGGGTTTTTTCCCAGTAAGAGGTTTTTATTTAATAGAATTTTTGGAACAAAAAATCGCAATATATTGCCTTGTTTACAGTATTGAAATATATCGGGATATATCGTTCAGTGACCCCTCTGTCATGATATGTATTGTATCGCCAAATTCTTGCCAATACACAGCCCTATTGCTGTTAGCTGGTTAAGGCACTGTTTTGTCTCCTTTTATAATTTGAAATACTTGCATGCAGCAGAGCGGGGCAGCTCACACACCAAAGACAAATGTTTTCTGATCTGAGACTAGCAGTTAGATCGGGACATTTCACTTTATAAATGTAGCTTTTATTTAGGCACATTCAGGATGTGTCACAACAGAAAAGATTTCCATGAGAGAAATTATTTGRACTGTCTGAGTTCCTGGCAGGAGACTGAACGTGAAGTGAGATTTAAAGTTAAAAAAATGCAAAGTTTCTTTTCTAACTCCATGTGATSAAACATGTTGAAGTGCTCTGCTGCGTTTTGTTGCCTCAGACATTTGGACAAGTCTCAGCAGGAAATTCTCAGATGTGTTCCTGACAGCGAAGTGCCACTCTGCTTCAGGGAAGTCATGTGAACTGTTTTACAGTCAGACAGTAAAATCATTTAGTTTTTGTTGTTGTGCTTTTTTACACTGAGMCAAACTAAAACATTTAACCCTGCTGACTGAAGACTGTTTCTGTCCATGTGTTCACATGGTTTTAAAGTTCTGAGTGTTGGTTTGGTTTAAAACAGGTTCAATGGTAAATGGACTGAACTTATATCGTGCCTTATCAAGTCCACAGTGTTCTACACTTCAGACGTTCATCCATTCACAGTAGGGCTGTGTATTGGCAAGAATTTGGCAATAAGATACATATCATGACATGAAACATGATTTGTTTCATATTTCATCCATGTTTTCAATTATTAGACTAAATTTGCCAATAAATAGTTTGAAAATATATTTTTTGCAGCTTTTAGTTTTTAATATTAATTTACAATATGGTCACCCAACACTTAACAATATGTTGTCATAAAGTTCAGTAAACAGATGATATGAAGCTGCTGCACACAGAGTTTCTGGGATCAGCTGACCTGCATCCAGAACATGATTTGTTTAACTGTGGCTCGAACAGCAGGGCAGGTCCTGAAGAAAACCAGTTAACAGCAGGGCAGGTCCTGA